AACAATATACTAATTTTTAATTACCTAATAAAATATTATGTTTACAATGCAGTAGGTATCTCACGAGTATATCGATATGTTAACTACTTTTATGCGTGTTTCAAGTTATCTTAAATTAATTATTATATGTTAATAATGTAAAATATTTAAAAATTTACTATACTATATTACAATTATATATTAATATATAAACTGATATTCAGTTAGTAATGTACTATTGTTACACAGTTAAAAATCCATTTATTTATATTGAAAAAACATTTAAGTAAATAAAATGAGTATGTTAAACAAATGTTGACATCATACAGTCTACACTATAATATATAATATTACATATCCTAATATTCCTAACCAAATATCTACGACGTGCAAGTAATAAGCTAGATAGGTACTTAACTACGCCATCTTAAATGGCCGAAACTTACCTATTACCTATATTATATCATATATTCATATGAAACTCTTTAGTTATATATATCGGTGCACACCAAATATATGATTTATTAGTTTGTCTTTTGTAGTATAAAAAATGCTACCACACAACAAAATATCTGCAGTAATATACCTACCTCTCAACATCGTCGAATATTTTTTTAGAGTAGGTAAGTAGGTCAATTTTCTTTGATCTTGAAAATTACAAAAAATATCAAACTTAATTATTAAAAGAAACCGATAAATTTAAAATACAGGTTGTAGAAAAGGTCACGAGGTAAATTATTTTTACTTTAATATATAAGGTACATGACACATTTAAAGGCAATACAATGTACTGAATAGAATATAATAATAGACTATAGAGTACAGACACATGTGACTATAAGTACATTTTGTTGAACATACAGTAAAAACTGTTTGAATAATTGAACACTTTGAAAAACTGTCTAACTCAGAATATTCACTACATGTTTTAAATTATTCAACATTTTTAGTTTTCATACCGATATAGTTTCATTCAATATTTCAATGGCATTATAGCTTAGTCATACCTATCCACCATTGGTCGTATTTATGAAAAAAATATGTAATATGTACTAAATATGAATTCAGATTTTTTCAAAATATACTGTCATAATATGGTTTTATTTCATATTTTATATTATTAAAATGAAGATTGACGACTACAATGTAGTGTATTAAGCCCCACACATGCACGTTATATTTAAATATACAATTAAAACATACCCCTGGGGCCTAGGCCCTAATAATGGTCAAAAGAAATCTTGGCTATTCACCTGCAGGTTTGATCTATTACAATTACAACGTTCATGGTTCAAACTTATAGTAAGAGTGCGTTTATGAAGTGCATTCACCTTATTTTATCCTTATGGTTTTATAACTGTGAGCATAATTTATAGTTTTGACTATAAACTTTCATGGCACTTATGTATAACAATCATAAACTCAATAATTAAATAAAAAATAAAAAATAATATATTTATTACGTTATACATTAAGAAAATATTTAAATTTAATAAATTGAATAAATTGAATAACTTACTTGATGAAACTTCTTTTCTCAGAAACATTATTCATTAATGTACTAAAATTCAGTAGGTATATTCCAGATATTCAATGACAAAATTTTAAGCGTTATCATTTGTCATTCAACGAAATTAAAAAATGATAGCTATACAAATTGTAATCATTTTTTTTCAAAAATGTTGTTTCGTAATGATTTAAAATCATGGAAAAAAAATATTTTCAAAAACTAATAGTTTTTGGAATAATGAGTGTCTTGCGTAAGACATAATTTTAATAAACTCAGAGTCCATCATTGTATTAAGTGCTATTAACGGACAAATAATTGCATGCGTGTGTCCGGTGGGTGTATAGTACTGTATACTGTATAGTGTATATATTATATTTTTCTCAAAAAACGGACTTATGGATGACAAGAACTTTATTCCTACTACCTAGGAATTTTTTTTATATAAGGAAATTCATCAGAAAAGGTCTTAACTCCGAGAAAATTTGTATTTTTGAGTTGTCCTAAAATAGTTAGGAGCATAACTCGGTCACCTTGGCAATCACTACTATCTTCATTTTTCCTCGAATGCACGTTTACAATTCACGGCTAAATTTTCAAAAAAATGTTATAAATAGAAACAAATATAACTATAGAATTATTGGGTTGAATAATTACCTAAGCGAAGCACGGTTTATTTTTTATTAAGAGGACGCCACTCCGGCATGTGTCGTCTCCGTCTTACAGTGCGTAACAGAAAAATTACGCTCAGCAGATCACGTTTAGCTCCGTTAGCTTAACAATTAGAGTGATTCGACGTATTGTGAAACTTGTTGATAAAAACATTATTTGTATTCGTATGTTGGTTTTTTACGATAATATTTAATTTTTGATCAAATTTTGAGTATATAATACAGCGTAAATTAAAAATGCTCATAACTTACTTAAAAAACTATGAAACTATAATAAAAAACGAACAATAAGCTCGGTCACCCGATATTATTATAGTATAACATTATTAAATAAAAAATATTAAATATGATTATAACTTGTATAGATAATATACCTGTAGGTATTTCTACTATATGTATAATATAATATTATCTTATCTATAACAAATTGTCCTTATGTATCATTTAAACTTTAAGATTTGATCTGATTTTAATTAAAATTGTTTACAATTTCAATGTTTTTTTATGAGTATTTATGCAATCTATATAATAACCATTAAAGATATAGGAATTTTTTTTTTATATAATTCTATACTACTTATTTCCACGAAGAATAGAATTATATTTTACAAAGCTAATTGGCTGTTGTCACTGCGGATGGTTAATATTTAACAGTATTTTATGAATTTCCAGTTATTATATGACGTTTATATTCCTAAAATGCCCACAACAAAAAGAAACGTTACAAAGAAATAATATGTTGTTTTAATATTTCAGAATAAAAACTAAATAGCTTCTAATATTTAGGTCAATTGTTAATAAGTACCTAAAACATGGTCCATGAATTATCTTTTGAAAATCAGCTAATGAAGGGAAATATTACACATATATTTTATTTATCTTTTAGTGTGCACTGTGCAATCTAGTATCTACCTATTGTTATGCAATATTTGATGAAAAACCAAACATTTATTTTATTAATTATTATATAAAATATATTTTTTCAATTATATGTTAATTAGATTTATTATTTTGTATATACTCGTATCAATTTTTAAACCAAAAAAGAACAACTTGATATTTGATAAATATGAGCATTTTCTCTTATTTTTATTTTTAAAGAAAGTAGTAAGTAAGGTACCTTACCCTACTGATGGTTAAAATTGGAGGATAGGTTGTTAGACAGCCAGTGGTAGTAATAGCCGATAAACATTAAAGTCGGGTACACACGATAATAAAAAATGCAATAGTTTCGGTTGGGGAAGAACTATCTATCATGCATACATGATAATGTGAGAGTGAATAAGTAGATAGTGTGATTGTAACCATCGTAGAGTTCATTCGGTGACAATTAGAAAAATAAGAAGTGCCTAGGCATAAAATAAAAAAGCGGTTAAGTGAATGTCGCTCTGCTGTACATTAGGTGTCTAAGAGGTATCTATATATATACAGCACTTGGTGTTATGATATAGTATTAGTATGTACTTAAGACATTAAGTATTTACACTTGCGGATGTATGTTCACGGGAGGAGATGAGAGGATGAACCCTTCGGCTTATTTTTGTCACATAAAATATATGACAAATCAATGAAAGTTTATTTTTACCTACATATATAATGACATAATGTGATCATAGAATAGTAAAATTTTCATATGTCCTTCCCTCTATCAAAAAAGCTGATCACATCTTTGGACACTTAACAAACAGTTATGAATAATATATGTACCTACCTACTTTCAAATTTATAACACAACAATATTGTGTTAAGTAATATTTATTTTTCATAATGTTGTAGACAATTTTTTATTATTTTAAAAATTCCAATTATTAATAACTCCACTTGTTTACGTGAAAAGAGGTTACCAAAATATAGACACTGAAATTTGTAGTGGCGGAAAAAGGAAATTTATATTGTTGCGCTGGCGATAAATGGAAAGATCGATTTTGGTGGAAAAGTAGATCACCCAGACGCGGTACCTACCTACCTATAAATCATTTACATTTATCTTTATCACCTTATGACTTGATTATTATTTATTTCCTATGTCCATTAAACTCAATGAGTAATTGCACACCAGACGAGCGCCACTTTTTCGACAATAACATTTTACTAGGTGGCAAAGGTATACAATATACATACCTACAAATATACAATTTTGTCTATATTTGCTAATTCTACAATATAAGCGGCAATCAATTAGATGCATAAAACGCTGTCTGGTTAGGTTAGAGGAGGTGGTACGACTCACGTCTCGTTAGTTGTTATTATAGTCGTTAAGCTCAATAAAATTATTCCTATTGGCTATTACAATTTAATAGGTAAATCATAATATTATTATTATACTTATACCTATTTCCCGATATCGGAACGATAGGAAGTCAAATGACTCATCACTCATCACTCATGACTCAAATTGCTATATTTTACCTAATAATAATTGACTGCGCGAGCGCAATGAAGAATTGTCGGCAATTCGGCATTATAGATTTAGATTATAACAGGTGTGCGAGGGCGCGACTATTTTGTTATTATTACTGTTGTGTTAATTGACTATATTTGCATATAATATCATAAATGATTAAACTATTAATATTATAATTGTACAACTGTCCGTTAAAATTTATACCATATATTTTCTATATTAATTATTGTTACTTATTACTTTATTAGCATCTGTGTTTTTGAGATCAACACACCTTGTAACTTGTAACTCGACTTGATGTGTAACTACTACAATTATGGGAAAAATGCGGCCAGATCTGGCTACACTGCAACCTTTTATAATAGTATCTTATTATTATTGTTGTTGATAAGTGGGAGTAATAAAGATAATAGAAGTCCTCTTGGTCAGGTCGAGTCAGGACTCAAGAGGAAGTGGAAATGGTAAAAAATAAAAATCGTGATAGTTTTTTTTTTTTTAATAACGTTTAGTTAATTATCATTCGCTCATCTGTTCCGTCCGCTTATGTGTAGGGTTCGTCGTGCCGCACGTGAAATAATTGAATTCTATTATAATATTGTAACTGTTTAATATTTAATATCAAAATTTTCATTTTTATGGTTATTTTTCGATTACATTGCTAAGTATTACCTACACAGTCTTATATCAACAGTATTACAATTTTTATACTCATTATTTTTTACTACACTGGTGTACAATTTAACAACATACTGAGCTTGATGAACGTTCATCGGCGATATGCTCACCACAAAGGATCATCATCATATACCGCTTATTGTCAAAGTGCTAGTTTTCATACTCTTAACATTAGTCCATATTCAATGTGTTTGCTGTGAGTACTTTAAAGCATATATTAATTGTATCCACAATGAGTCTCATAAGATCTATAATAGGTATAGTAAGTACCTAAGTAGTAGGTAATTTATTGATTTGTAATTAATTTGTCCTTTCAATGTTATGATATTGTAAGTTGTAATCAAACTCAATGTAGGTAGGTGCACAAACAGTCCCATTAAATAGTGTTTGTTGCTACTATTTCAAATTGGACCAAATTGTTGATTGAACTATAAAATAGTTATTTTACATATTTTAGCAAATATATCATTAGCTTTTCTTATTAAAAAAAATTATAATGTAGGTTCTTGTTAGTATGTTATTTTTATCATATTATCTTAAATCTGATGGCGAAAATATATCATGTAGATTTACAGTTTACTGAATTGAATGCATAGTTAAATTTATCATTTTTAATTCAATGGGGGATCATTTTTTATGATTTGTCAATGCATAACTATATTTTTTTAAATTACAATGTTGAAGACATATAATTTAATAATGTGCTCTTTAAGTTAAGAAATTACTGCCATTAGTAGGTATTATTGGCATATTGCCACTGAGAGCTAAATACATATGTTCTATGGACTATATTCATCTGGGTGATTTTTTTTCATTGTGGACTCTGACTAAACAATAGTTTTTGAAGCATTTATGTATAATATCTGTTCTAATAATATTTGCTGTTTTTAACTGGTGAACATGAGTCTTGTACTTTTTTTATTCAAATTTTCATCATCTCATTTATATTATAAGTGGTTTCTAAAATTGTAGAATATACTTTTTTTCTAATAGTATTCATCCCTGATTTCTTATCAATTGACAATTACATTGTGATCATGGGCATATATTAGGATGGAGATGGAAGAGGGCATGGAGGCCTTAAGAGCCCCCTAGAATGTTTTTAAGCCTCCCCTTAAAAAGTTTAGTCGGTGTTCAACACTTATAAGTTATAATAATATTATTACTTATTATTTGTTTTCTTAATTTACATCTATTTAGTTTTACTTACATTTAAGGACCAAACCTAGGGAGTAAGTTGAAGGTTAAAGCCTGCTTCATTTTGAAAATGGGTAAAAATGTCCCCTTCTTTACCTTTGTACCAAACTAAAAAAAAGTTTATAAGTACAACCCCAGATGCAATCCTCATTAGTTAAAAATTAAAATATTAACTATTAAATAATGTATTACTATGTACTGTGGTACTTACTATATTTAGTGGTTTATTAATGCTGGCTAATGGCTAATGGCTTGAAATGGCTTTATTGTGATTTTTATACTAACTTTCGGGAATCTTTTAAACCAAAATGTACTTAGTGAACGGTGAGGTCCTATATATTATTATGTATACACAAATTGTGTAACACAATGGATTGTTGTATGCATATAAATATTTTTATTTTTGTCAAACAATGTTTACTGATGTTAACATGTCATATGATATAAATTTTTTCTCTGCCATCTAGAAAATTGTTTTTTTTTTAAGGGAATGGTTGAATGATCCCATCATATAATATCTATTATTATATTATGCATATAACAGACATTAGTGTTCTCAATCGATGTTCTTTACACAATTCAGGAGTAATCTTTGTGGAGTCCCAAGGGTGGGGGGGGGGTGAAAATTTTTTTTGCATATACATACACATCTTGCTATTTTGGCATCAATAGGTATATCGTAGATGAGAAGTAATATGTTGTGCTGTAAGTACACTTTATATTCAACTCTATGTCTTTTTATAATATAATTTGTATTTATAATAGATAATTGTTTTATGTTTTGATGACTTATGACTAATAAAATTAAAACGTATTAACCATTTACACAGCCAATCCCTACAGATAATAGGTTAATAGTTTTGATAGATTTTTTAAATAATAAGTGATGAGTAGATAAATGTATGTCAAAAATCAAAATATTATTTTAATATTCATTAGGTATTGTATTTTATTACACTTAATGATTATGTAATACATTATACTACCTCTGTTATAAAACAATTTTTGTATTATATACAAATTCCATAAAACGATAGTATTTTCTCTTTATATTTAAATATCTATAAGTACCTAGATACCAGGAGAAATGACAAAAATCTTTGATGACAATTTTGAATAAAAGAAGACAATGATGATCATCAAATAATACCTATTTAATATTATTTAGGTTAACTGGTTAAATTATAGTTACATAATTGTGTATTAGGTACATTGTTTTTTTTTTTACCTAATGACAATATTTTATATTTAAGCTTCCTCATTGTTACACGGTAAATTACTATGAGTTATGAAACTTAGATTCACATAATCCAGTAAATGAACTGCATCACATCTATTAGTTTTATACTGCACTTTTCAGTGACATATCTTAAAACCTTGTGATATAATAAAGCTGTTAGAAGCGGCTGCTTCCCAGAAAAATCATTTCCCAACCCCCTTTTGTTTTAGTTACAGCCATTTCAAGATCAAGATGTTTCTGTTAACTGCATGGGTCGATTTCTGTCCGGTTAACTTGTTTCAAAATCCCATATTTTGTGCCTATATAATGGGTTACATAACATTAATATCATAATAAATAATTATACAAATATTACTTACACAATTTATACAAATTATCTTTGACGTCAGTTCAAATTGCTAATACATTTCCAATGACTATTAATAATGACAATTTCGAAACGATCGTATTTTTGGTATTATATGTATAATTAACATTTATCCATATTCTACAATTGGTCTACAACATCATTAGAATAAATGGTGATTGTCTTAGTGCAATTTACTCAAACATTTACTATTTGAGACAATGTCAGCCACCGGTAGTCAAATGATTTTGTCATGGAAATGTGGCTGATTATTTAACATAAAAAGTACAAAATAATTTGTAAATTTTGATGAATTTTGTAAAAATTTGAGTCTTAGAAACTTATAAAAAAATATTGTGACAACTTATGAGAAACCTTATATTATTAGATGTTAAATCATTTTTACACAACAACAAAAATTTTATCAAACACGGATAGAAAAAAAATTTTAAAAAGTCGAAAATTTTAAATGTTTTAAATGAACCAAAATATTTTGAAAATTATTTATTTTTCTAACAGAAATCATCTTCCAATCGAAAGATTTTTATTGCTCCAAAAGGTGGAGACAAAAAGATAAAAAAAACATATTTAACATTAAAATCATTAAGTACATCATAAGGTAGTCCACTCAGAATCTAAAATTTAACCATGAATAAAAAATTGTGGGTAATTTAAAGGTTAGATTGAATGGTGGAGGTATGTGATGTTTCAAAGTTAACAATAATTATTTTGCGTTGACTATAATTGTCAAAATTTAAACTTATATGTATCTAGATATATTTTTCAAATTTTTTATATCTGTAAGAATTATAATGAAGAACCTTATATTAAATAGTTAAGTTTTCTGACAAAGAAAAAAAAATAGAATTAACAAAAATCAAAAAAAAAAAATATTGCTGTAAAAAGTTTCTCAAGACAAAAAAATTAAAATATGTATTGCCCAGAATTCCAAAATTTATTTGTTTATCAAAATACAAAATAATAGGTTACGTGTAATTGTTATATTTAAAAAGCAAGTTTGAATTTGTTTCGGTCGATGTTTCGGTCTTATTACTTTATTTTTACTAGTTTAACATTATATTCTTAATTATATTATTATGTATACACTTATATATTTAATGGCATATTTAATCAATTCATATCCGCTGTGTTTATTATTTGTTATCATTTATTATTGTGATTTTAAATACATATTTCTATTCATTACAATAACAAATAAAAGATAAATTAATTACACTTCCTTTAAGCATTACATTTATAATCGTTCTCTGCACGTGTTTTCGTGTTCTAAAGGATTATAATATTTGCGTTCGTGACGATCCGGTTTTAAAGAAAGAAAATGCATGTTTATAAAGGGTTGCAACATAATACGAGCTTGATATGAAAACCACATCTATAGACATCCCGCATAACGTTGGATATAATATGATATTATTAAAAAAAAATAATGATGTAGGTACCTATATACCTTATATAATAATATTATAAACTATTGTGCATACTCAACACATAGTTATTTTAATCTTTAAGTTATACTTTGTGTGAACTGAACTATGACACTGTGTATAATATTATAAGTATTTATGACTTATGTTGTAACTGTGTACCGTGTAAATTAACAATATTCGATTCTTAGTTAAGAAAAGAATGTGTATTACAATATATATTATTTTGGTATGAATGTGTGACTACGTTTTCAAATTAGTGACATTTATGGCAATCCTGTAACCCCTTGAAGTTTAGATACACCGAATTGGTACCCGGCATTTTTGGATACAATCTGTTCCTATACGTGTATTGAATGAAAAATCTAATCCCAATATTATAAGGAAAAACGTATAATATTACCGTAGGGATAATTTTATAGTATAACTTTTGGAATTATCGTCATAATTAGGTTTTTATAATTTAGTTCACTATTTCGTGTATCGGTACTTTAACACAAATACATTTTTAAAAATAAAAATAAATAATCTTATCAGAAAAGTAATAAAATGTGGGCTAAATATTGACAGAGTTTTTTTTACTTTAGTCCCCGATACATCAACAAGTTCAAAAAAGTTCTAAAAAGGTGCCTTATTATTTCAAAATCTGATATCTCTACAATCTCCATATTGTGGCTTGTATTATAGATTATTTAAATTCCCATACTATCATAGTACCATGTCTATTATGTTATGTATAGTGCCTTATGCTTGTGGTGAACTTCAGTATGAGTAGGTACTGCACGGCGCATGTGTTTTGTTTATCCGCATAAAATAATTTAGTATATTATAATTAAATTTGTGTGAACAACAATTTATGTTGTTTTTTTGTATTAACGGAAATAGAAAAAAAATCTTAACCGTTTCTGTTGCATTGTTTCTCACCGCTTCAGTTAGGTACTAGTCCAACACGTGGGTATTTTTCATTC